CAAAATCCAGTACGATTTGACATTTTTTTAGATTTTTTTACATGTGAGTGAAACAAATACATAGGAAATTGGCAATGCTTCTTTTACTATTTGTACACATTACATAACAGCTGCTTACAACCGATATTAAATCATCACAACCTGTCAGTTTTGAGTAGTTTGTTTCCTGAGTTTCAGAAATTTCACTTGAATTGATGAAAAGATTGAACTCCTTAAATCGGTTTAGTATTTTGTTATGTATTTAGTAATACTGTTTTTGGTTTATATTGACATAAACTTTCATGGTGAAGTTTTATTGTTGTCTAAAGGTGGTATTTGACTGACATAATTCATTGTAATATTATTTATAAAGCAGATAACAAACCAATGAATGTTTTGGGCAAAATAAACTATTTAATAAAGTCAATAACAGTTCTTTGCGAAATGTGATATCCAAAGGAATATAAAGGAATTGCGTATTGACAATTCATTTGGGAACTCAACATATATCCCAAGCCACTTACCAAGGAGGACATCTTAATTGATCATATGTCTGTTCTATGTTGCTTTAGAATTTCAACCAAAGATGAAGATCTTGATCTTCCGTCACTGTATTGGATATATAAATTACATAAGTGTCCTTACAAACAACGTTATGTTGCTGGGTCTTCAAAGTGCTCCACGAAACCTCTTTCTAATTTATCAACATCAATTTTATCAGCAGTCAAAGCCGGGCTTCAAAGTTATTGTGAAACTATCTATTCTAGGGGCGACATGAGTCAGGTGTGGATACTAAAACGTTCCAACGATCTTTTAGAGTACATACAGTCTAAGTATTTTTTTTATTTGCAATAGTATTAAAATATTTGACTTTTTAACCCTTTACACTAGCATCGCCCATTCCAAACTAAAATATATATTGAAAGAATTTGTCCTGGTTTGTCTCTTTAAGAAAAGAAGGCCAACGTAGATACAATCATATTGTCTTAGTGAAGAATAAATCGCACTTTATATAAAATTACTCTGATTCAAACTAAACTTTCTCTGAAACTGGCATTATCAAGATGCTTGATTTCTTGAATGACAACATATTTGTTACGTTTTGAGTACGTTGTTTTTCAACAGAGAATCGGCATTCTTATGGTAGCCAACTCTTCTTCTTGCCGACTTTTCCATTTTATCATATGAGGCTGACTTCATACAGGAGCTTCTTATGAAAAATGAAAAGAAGCTAGCATTATCCTTTAAATTCGCTTTCCGCTATATAAATGATGTTCTCTCCCTAAATAATTCAATGTTTATTTTTATTGAACGCATCAATCCCATCAAACTTGAAATAAATAATACAACAGATACTGTAAAGCTTGACTCATATCTTGACTTTTATCTAGAAATTGGCAATGAGGGTCGGTTGAGAACAACATTTTACGAGAAAAGAAATGACTAAAGCTTTCCAGTTGTGAACTTTCCATTTCTTTGAAGCAACATTCCAGAAGTGCCTGCACATTGAATATATATATCCCAGTTCATATGATATTGCAGAGCTTGTATTTCCTATCATTATTACCTATATAGAGGATACCTGCTCACAAGAAAGGTAGTATACCAAGAGTTCCAAAAGGTGAACATTAAATCATCCCTTCGTTAAATTTTACGGACGTCATCACGAGTTGGTAGACCGTTATGAATAATCTGCTTAACAGATGACGACGGATATGTTCCAATTTTCGTAACCACAATGCCGTCCTCTTTTTCTCAAATGAGCCCAACCGAATTAGACTTATCACCGTATTTATACTTATATGAGCACCATGACGGTTGTCACATGTAGAAAGGATCTGCTTTCCCTTCCGGAGCACCTGAGATCACCCCAGATTTTTGGCGGGGTTCGTGTTGTTCAGTCTTTAGTTTTCTATGTTGTTTTTTGTACGCTGTCATTTGTCTTTTGGTCTTTAGGTTTTTACCATGGCGTTGTAAGTTTGTTTTCAACTTATGAGTTTGAATGTCCCTTTGGTAACTTTTTTTTTTTGGAACTAATGTCATTCGTGTATCTGTAATTTATATAAAAATAAAAGTATTCTGTAAATATTTCTTCTGCAGTGAAAAACTCCACAAAAATGCTTGACGCTTTGTATAGGATCGGGTCTTTCTGCATGTATTCATCATGAAGTTTGAATATAAAACCCAATCAAAAGAACCACCATCAGAAGGGTCAGTATGATTTTCATACTAGTAGATTATCGGAGCTGGCAATCTGTTACTGCGAGCATTCTTTGATACGGTTTGATTATGTTTTGGTTTCCTTGTACCTGCCGTATTAGACCGGTAAACAATTTTAAAAATAAAAGAGTCTTGTATTTTCTTGCAACTTTTAATATTCCACTAAAATTTAAAAGGGACGGTTTGACTGAATGCTCAAACAACTAATCCGACCCTGCCATATTATCATGCGTTTGTCTCTTTTTAAGGCATTCGTCACTGATTTTTTTAGTAATATCTTGCTTGTTAAACTTTTCGAATGTAGTGATGATCTTTCTTACTATATGTTACATCCAGTATGATTTGGGACAATGATTTTAAGATACATCGATAAATTAAAGCTGAAATTACTGTTATAATAATTTATAGGTTTGAAGCTCATAAAACCGGATTCGGTTCACTGCCCCATTCTAGTTTTCAAAGTGTCTGTACCAATTTAAGTCTGGAATACAACAGTCGATCCCCAATTGATCCAATAAAAAAATGTTTGAAAACATTTTCCCTGATATAATCTAGTTTTCCTGATCTTGTTTTCCGAGTTTACATGTTACACAGCAGTCAGTACCTTACAACTTTATGGAAATTGTTTCCCTATCAATATATCTACAAATTGAGAATTTAAATCGAGAAGAGTCAAAATGTTGTTTTAATTCAATTCTATTGACAAAACAAAACCCAAGGAACGCGCATTTGTATCAGTGTTATCTCAAGGTCACAGCAAGGCTCCAACCTAACAAAAACATCAAGATGACCCCATTCACCAGTTTGAACGCAATGTTTTGTTAGATTTTGATCATTCTAGAGTTATGCATGATTTGAAGAAAAAATAGCAGAAGCAGTGTAAAAGCGACAAATTACAGAATTTTCCAGCAATAATATCTATCAAATATTGCAATAATTTACCCGGTAATGTCATTCTAAAATCCAGACACTCTAAAACATATAGACAACCTTGAAGCACATCAAACTATTTGTTATAATATGCAGGAAATCACGTATCAATAGAGAAAATGAATTGAATGAATTGCTGAACAATTTAGATAAACAAACATACCAAAAGAGAAAAGTGAAGTATTACACATGAAAGGAGTTATCTTTAGATTGCAAATATCATGATTGTAAGAAAATAACAATTGACACAGAAAACTTTATTGCCTGCCTGAAATTTCGATAGCATAATAAAAATGTTGAAATTTAAATGCAGACACCTTTTGTTCGAAATACTTAAGGATTTCCCACCCAGGAATAGATTACATTAGCTGTATTTCGGAATTCTGGGTTCTCAATGCTTTTCAACTTCATAGTTGATTTGACCTTTAACTTTTAATACTGACGAGTCATTTGAACACAAAACGCGAGTCTGGTGTACAAATTATAAGACTGATATAATTGATAACTTTGTTAAACGTGCATATATTATGATATCGAAACAACAACTAATAGAAATAAGAAGATGTGGTATGAGTGCCAATGAAACAATTCTCCATCCAAGTCACAATGTGTAAAAAGTAAACAGTAATAGGTCAAAGTACGGCCATCAAGACGGAGCCTTGGCGCACACCGAACAGCAAGCTATAAAGAGCCCCAAAATGACTAGTGTAAAACAATTCAAACAAGAAAACCAACGGTCTAATCTATATAAAAAACGAGAAACACTTAAGAACCACATCAACAAACGACAATTACTGAAACAGGTTCCTGACTAAGTCTCGTTTTGGCGGAAAATTAACTTTGTATATACATTAGGTAAGTTATTAGAGTATTAATTTTATTAATCATGTTCAAGATTGTCACACTTAGTAAATATACAGTCATGAATATGAATCATACTTTGCATGTAACACAAATTTTGGCACAAAGCTGACCATACATGTATAAAACACTTGTTAAAGCCACATTGTATTTTGATTTAATATAAGTTGTATCCAAGGATGCTAGTCACAACGAGGATAGTTTATCATCATTTTACTATTGATTTAATTTCCATGCTAAAAATAAGTGCCATGAAATTGTAAATAAAAGAAGATGTGAGCATAAGCCAATGAGACAGCAATCCCAAAATACAATACTACCTCAGATTACATCAAGACGTCAACATAGGGTATTCAAAATGAGATAATTTCGTTTATCATACGACAAGTTGTGAAGTGAAAACATTTTATAGATATGAATAAAACATATTGAGTATACAACTGACTGCCAAAGATTTGTCATGTCTTAACTCTGTCAAAAGAACCGTTACGATATCAATGTAGGCAATTTTAGACGGGAATGTGACCAAAGTAGTTCCATTTCTTTTGTAGTCATTTTCCCTCTTCTTTCTCCATATACTATTGGCAACTGGGTAATTGACAAGTGAGGCAGTGAAGCAGAAAGTGCCTACCCTTTGTAGCCTGGAGCCCGTATTTGGTTTAAGTTCTTGACCCAAAAATTAATCTTTTTATGTTTTTTGTCTAATTTAAGTGTCCTTCCTGCTTGTAAATACCCATGTTACACTTTACTTTAAAAATGTGGTAACACAGTAATATTGTCTTTTCGGTTTTGATTTTTCATTTCGGTATGAACGTATTGAATTTCGTTTGATGTCTTTTGAGTGTTAATTTCAACTGAAACTGAATTTACTTAAGCTAACAGCCGCCTATACAGTGATATGTATCATGAATGATTTTACAAACTCGTATACGTAGTGTATTACTTCCACGAGCACAAATTTACATGACTTAGCGATCTTGTGATCTTTTTATGTAAATTGACCAATCGGGATTATGTTTTAGATTGTCTAGCCCAAATGCAGCTTACAAACTGATTAGCACCATTTTCACTTTACCAACGCAATTTAATCATACCGCATTGTAAAGCTATTTCGTTCTGTGTTATTGACATCAGGTTTATGTCTGGGACGCGATTTAAATCCAAACATCTTTCTAAATTTCCTTCGAAAATTTGTATTGCACAATGGATAAAGAAAGGGATTAAGTGTCGAATTAAGATATCCAATCCACGTCATTGCGGTTAGAAGTCCTGGATCAATACATCCATCACAGAATGCGACAACGAGAAATAAAATAAAGTATGGTAGAAAACAAAGCGTAAAAGCTCCCATGATTACTCCTAGTTGTCGTGCCGCTTTGATTTCTTTTGTCAATGACGAACTTCGACGAATATTTCGAAGACGGTGTCCAATGTTAAGTAATTTTGAAATGCGTCTATGTGATTCATCGTTCAGTGTTGTTAAGCGATTTTTGCCGTTCATATGGGCTTTCTGACTGACAACTGATGTATGGTCCATTATGTTCGTTGCCTGCCGAATCTGTTTCAGACCATTAGTCAGTGAATATAATGACTTCTTTTTATGTGTCAGCGGAGGCTCTAGCGATCTGATAGACTGTCGGTCTTCACTACTAGAACTCCCCGTCGGTGTTCCGGAAGGAGGAGACTGATCAATACCTATATCACAAGTGTATGATGTAGGTCCATTCTGACTTGAACCATTCATTTGTTTCTTGTAATAATATCGCTCCAATTTTTCTGTTGTGGAATCGAATACACCCTCATCGTAAATGTATTCAATACGTCTTTTTGGAATATATCGCGTATTAAACTCAGTGACATGGAATTCTCGATAAGCTTTTGGTATCACATTATTACGTCGACGAGTTTTATAAGTTGTTTGGTTACAATTATTCCCGTGAACTGAGTAAAATCCACTTGTAAAATGCAATTTTGAATCTTCTTTGAGAGCAGTTGTTATATTGTTTTCACTGCTGTCATCTAATGTTTGGGAATCTAAACTTGGTAAAAATTGAACAGTTGGATGTTTTGAAGTATGTCTCTGCCCAAGTTCTAATGCTGAACGTTTTCGAATTTCATGAAATACTTTTCCATACAGGCATATCATTATAGTTAGTGGAAGATAAAAATTAAAGAAAGCTGTTATTACTTTGAATACTGAATCCTTTGCATATTCAGTCTCACAAACATTGGAAGGTACACTTCGTATACCACCAAACACAAAGAAGTGCCATCCAACAATTGGAATTATCCATAGTGACGACAAGAACCAAACAAATGATATCATAAATAATGCTCTCTTTTTCGTTCGTTTTCTAATATACTTCAAAGGTGACTTCACAGAACAGTATCTATCAACACTCAATATAAACAAATTGAATATAGACGCCGTGCTAGCTATGTAATCCACAGATATCCATAACTGGCAAAGTCCTACACCAAAATACCATTGTTCGGTGAAGATATATATAGCACTGATTGGCATGACAAACATACCAACAATTAAATCGGCAACAGCGAGGCTTACTATGTACATGTTGCTTACCTGAAATGATAAAAGAAAATATGTCTTACGATTATCTGATATGCATATTAGAATAATTCTTTACCCAATCGCACAAATACGGACATGTTCTTTATGACTAAAATTAAATACCTGCATCAGTCTAGGAAAACACGATTAATTATTAGTTAACTTGTAATTAGCTTTGAACTAGCTTTCAGGAATGCGAGTACTCTTATTTCGTTGCTTTGTTTCTATTGTTTTTATGTAAGTTGTGTATGTGCCTGTCCCAAGTCAGGAGTTTGTATTTTAGTGGTTGTCGTTTGTTCATGTCTGTCATATTTATTTTTCGTTAACTGTTATAAATTAGGCCGTTGGGTTTCTAGTTTGAATTATTTCACATTTTTAATGTCGGGCCTTTTATAGCCGACTATACAGTATAGGTTTTCCTCATTGTTGAAGGCCGTACGGTTGCCTATAATGACATTACATCCACTTCATTTGAACTCTGGTGGATAGCTGTCTCATTGGCAATCATACCACATCTCCTTATTCTTCTTCTTCCGGTAAAACTCTAAATAAGGAACACAAATCCAAACGTTCAAACAGTTTTCAATCTGGAAAACAAAACCCGCAATCGGTTCATTGTACTACCAATAAAGTTGAATATTTAACAAGTATAATTAATTTTCAGGAAAAAATATGATAGAAGTTAAAGTGTAATTATCTATCTTCCTACAAAACAATTGTATCAAGAAAAAACATCTGTCTATTTTAATTGAAAATACAAAGGTTTCCTTTTGAAGTAATAACTTTGTGATAATCAAACAATGCGTATGTTCATGTTTGTATCTTAAAATCAGTGCATATCATCTAAGCTCAAATTGCACGTTGACTTTTTACTTTTTACTAGAAATATTCCGACAGACTTTTCAAAGTTCTGAACAAGCTTAATTATTAATCTATTAACGATTTTATTCGAACATTCACCATGGTATGAAAACTGCAGCAAATCTTTGAGAACTAAATTTTTATTACAACCAAACACATATCAAGTTTTAATTTGGGTGGCGTCACTTTCACCGTTCTCGAGTAATGTTCCTTTACAAATGGAAAAAATGCTAAATTTGTCGTTTTCGCACTCTAACTTTGTAGTTTGCCTCAACCAAATGTTACAAAACTTATACACAATGATTATTACCACCAAATACAGATCATGTTCGAATTTGAGTTATGTCCCTTTGTAAATTGAAAAATGCAGAATTTGCCATATTTTTTTAAGCAGGGGCCTCTGTGTCCCAGGGACAATTTTTCATTTTTTTAATACGATTTCAGACATTAGATGTTTGCTGCTTTATTTTAAAATATATTCCACGAAAAAAAAAAATATTTCTAGGTTTGCTTAAAATCATCTGCCAAATAGGATATCATGTGAATTTCTGAACTCTTGAGATAACGAAAAGACGAAATATACCCATTTGTAAAATTCATTATCATAAGAACAAGGTAGTGGATGAATTAAGATTAATCTTAATATATTTTTTTTATTGATGACAACTCCTTATTTCTAAATTACAAATTATTGCAACTCAATAAAGAAAAAAACTAAAAGCTATGAAAACGTGGTGCTGAGTAAACTGTACAAAATCAAATTTTGATATGAACCATCAGGAGACAACACGTGTATCTTTCACTTTTTTAAAATATTAATAACGAAAAGTCAGCTCAGCAGTGTATTTTTTTTTTTTTTTCACAACATCGAATTCTACTATTTAACTATTTCAGTAATTTTAAAAGTACAAACTGCAAATAGATGACATGAAGATATCATATATGGCTTTGTTGTATTGCAGTCTCACCTACTTGTACTCACGTTTTCTTTTGTTCAAGTAAATGATTGCTCCCTCATAAGTGTGATTTATTGATATCAAGTATGCAATGTTACGTAATTCAAACAATTTTGACATCTCGGGCTCGTAAGATATCTATTTTCGCCTTTTTAAAACGACCTTTTAGAACTACATTGTGTATGCCAGATGTTTGATTAAACCAAAAAAAACAAAAAAACGCGCCTAGGGACAAGATAATGGACGATTTGAACTTAGTCTAAATATAAATGTTATTAAATCAGATGACAACTCCTTAATTTCTAGATTACTAATTATTGTAACGCAACAAATGAAGAACTAAAAGATATAGCAACGTCACGTGGTGCTGAGTGGACTGTTAAAAAAAGTTCGAATCAAACTGATGACTAAATATAAGCCATATCCATTCATTTTGTAATTAAAATTTTTAATTTATTCTTGTGTTCAAATAAGGTAACATGTTGGCGGTTCTTTTGAGTTTAATATACATTATATATCAAAGTATTGCTACAGTTTAATTAGCCATATTTTCTGTTGACCGAATTGTCACATGCACTTATAAAATGAGAACAAAAATGTCGAAAGTCTTGATAACAATTTGATACACTTGAATGGTTTCCTGCAAATCAATTTGAAGTAACAAAAGCGAAGAATGAATAAACCAGGCCCTTTTTATTACAACATTACACTTGGGGATATTTTCCTAAAGTAAACATTTTATTGTCACACATGTACTTATAAAATGAGAACAGAAATGTCGAAAAGCTTGAAAACAATTATTTGATATACTTGTATGGTTTCCTGCAAATCTAATTGAAGTAACCAAACCGAAGAATGGATAAACCATTTGGGAGTATTTGCTTAAAGTAAACATTTTATTCTATGTAGTAAAAAAAACCCGATCTGCTTCATGTGCACACTTTTCTGTTATCAAATTTGTTGAAGCCAGACTATTGTCTTTGTCCAGAAGCACTTGTTCAAATTTGTACTTCTACAGTTAGAGAATTTCAAATGGAATTATGAGCAATGGAAAGTACATTGAGTAAATAATTATGATGGTATTACTATCATGAATTAAATCTTCGGGCATTATCTTTCGTTTTGGTTTAAGACAGTAATTGGTTACAATGATAATTTCCAATTAGCTATATCCAAGTTTTTTAGTTACTCGTTTCTTCGAACTGATAAATTTGATTGATATCACATTTGTTCTGTACTTATGAAACAATATGCTATTTACCATGGTTATTTACGGTTGAGAGAGACAAGACACTACAAACAAAGCTAGGTTTCTCGGTTAAAGAAGTGTTTATGTTGACGTTGCTTAATTAATTTAAGCAAGATACGAGAGTTTTTTTGTTGTCAAACTTTGATTCATGGTAGATAAAATTGAGAATGGAAATGGGGAATGTGTCAAAGAGACAACAACCCGTCCAAAGAGCAGACAACAGCCGAAGGCCACCAATGGGTCTTCAACGCAGCGAGAAAATCCCGCACCCGGAGGTGGTCCTCAGCTGGCCCCTAAATAAAATTGTGTACTAGTTCAGTGAAAATGGACGTCACACTAAACTCCAAAACATATAAATGAACTATAATTAAAAAAAACATACAAGACTAACAAAGGCCAGAGGCTCCTGACTTGGGACAAGCGCAAACATGCGGCGGGGTTAAACATGTTTTGTGAGATCTCAAACCTCCCCTGTACATCTAGCCAATGTAGAATAAAGAAACACATAGCAATACGCACAGTAAAACTCAGTTTAAAAGAAGTCCGAGTCCGATGTCAGAATAGGTAACAAAAGAAACTAAGCAAATGACAATGGTGTATAAATTAACATAGGACTACTAGCAGTTACTGACATGCCAGCTCCAGACCTCAATTACACTGATTCATAGCTCTAGTTATGAATAGCGGGTTGAAAAAAAGAGTATCAGTTAACGGCAAAAAACAATTCAGGGCTTCCAAAATCTTTAATGACCTATCAATGATTATGTGATCTTCAATACTTATTCACTATTAATATATTCCAGATCATACATGTACATGTATAAGACGACTCAAATATTTGCCCATAGCTTACAAGTAATTTGTTATTGTAAAATTTCGAAGTATCAGCAACATTCCATTGGCTACGCGGAATATCTGATAATGACAGTTACGCATATATGAATTAACATTATCAGGAAAATATAAAAGTATTCCTTTATCAATGGCGTAAGGGTAGACCGAAAAGTGTGTTTGTGGGGGATGGGGGTGGGTGTAAATTTCTGGAAAAAAACACTTTACCTTAGTATAAGTCATTCAGTGTCCACTATCATTTTCAATTTTTTTTAATCAATAGCATTTTTTTTGCCAAAAAGTGCATGTCTGTGCCACCGACTCTTACATCCTTGAAAAGCTTAAGGAACTTTAATTAAAAAAAGTCATGTATAGAAAGAATACGCAAATTTAAAACTATTTCTGTATGTACATGTAATAGGAGAGGATTGAACTCCTGATTTGAACCTGTCTGCACAATCATCATCTTCGATATCCTAATCGCATCTGTAATTATCTATTTTAGACTATCCCAAGCCAGGAACCTGTAACCCATTAGTTGTTGTTGGTTGTTGTCTGTCATCTTTGTTTTCAGTTCATTGTTGTAGTAGATGTTGGTTTTCTCTTTTGAATTGTTTCAAATTTTGTCATACTTGGGCCACCTATAGTCTACTGTACGGTTCGAGTTTTGCTCATTGACGAATGCAGTACGGCGACCTGTAATTGTTCACATCTTTATCCTTTGGTCTTTATGGATAGTTGTTTCCTTGACAATCAAACCACGTCTCCTTATATTTATATTAATTTTTCAATGTTTTAACCCAAACTACGTAAATAAGGAAATATTATGCTTTCTGCGCACGGCTATATTCATATTGTAATACCAGCTTGATCCAGATATTATCTTTTAACTCCCCCATAACGAGATCTGTCAGTACACGGAAATAATGCGATCCATATAATAAAACATCCCTGACACGTATGAATTATTTGAGAAACAACATTTAAAGACTAAAATAAGCAATGTTGTCACCTAGATTCCTTATCATAAAAATTGATTTGATTGTGAATATTTTTTTCATTGCGTAAATCTGTATGTATAAAGGTATGTTAATTTTGGTTTTTATTTTTTTTTT